TAATGTAAGCTAAAAAATATTTTGTTATTTAATACTGTGTAGATTGTATAAAGGTTGTATGGTGTGGAAACGTGGAGAACAACTAAGGTAATTACCAGTAAACTACGGAACATTCATTAACTGTACCCGACAAGAATAGAGGGAACTAAACAGTATGATAGAATCACTAATGTGGAGCTTTGGGAAAGAACAAAACAAGTTTCAGTGGAGGTGAAGCAAAGACGCTGGCGTTGAATAGGGCACACATTGAGAAAATCTGAGAACAATATAACAAGACTGTATTGCCCTGGAATCCACAGGGGCATCAAATGAAGGAGGACCAGAAAACAAAACACATGAAGAAGGAAGCTAGAGGGTGAAGTTAATGCAGTACATAGCAATTAATTTAGGCGGCATTAAAAGTCTATGGCTAAGCATCAAGTACCAAATGAAAGTAAAAGTTTTGATAGGATTAATCTTTTCTCTAGCAACATACGGATGAGAACCAGGATAGCAAATGATGCCTGAGCCGACTGGCTGGCAGGTAATGCACCAATGCAAACAAGATGAAGAATGGACAGAGTTGATATCATTAGGACTGTATGGACCAGAGTGGTTGATGATAAATCTGTGACGCCAACACGATTGCATAGCCTGGGATGAAGCTTGGTGAAGCACGTTTATGCACTATCACCTAAATCTCATGGATATACAACAGAGGTACTTTTAGGTGACTGCTGCGTCGGTGGACTGAGCAGGCATGAAAGTTCCTTGTGTGCATGACATCGATTATGATAACATTACATAATTTTATGGAAGAAAATCCTTTTTTTTTAGCCGAATGGACATAGCCCTGATTTTAAGAATACCATGGATTTGGGGAAGAAAAGAAATCTCATCGTTTTATGAGATTTTAACATCGAGGAAGTTTTGTTTTGTAACCTCATCTTTCTCGAAGAATTGAAATACTTCAGTTTAATCCACCCCTCCCCCCACCCCCAACACGCCTATGATTGCAGTCTCTAAGATTGGCATCTCAAGGTTGAGAATCAAACGGCACTAGTCATGTAAACCTAGTTCATTCAACAGTACAGCTGTATTGCACACTTATACTAGGTTAGTTGCGTATTCTTTACAGGAAGTTGCAGAACCAATCCCAGCAGCACTTGGCTGTTGTGTAGTTTCTCTGTGCAAATTTACGTCCAGTAGATTGCCATTGCCTCCTGGACGGTCGGCCCCCTGATACAATTGTCGAAACCGATTCAAGGCGCATGGCTCGCAGCTGGGATCGAACCCGGCACCTCAGCATTACGAAGCGTTCGCATCGACTTGGCCACAGAGCCGACACACTTATACTGGTTCACCTAAAAGCGCTTACAAACTAACCTGTAGTCCAGCTTCTTTTTCAGCGTTCATCCGAAGATGTAATTGCGTTGTGTTCTTTTACAGCATAGCTGCGATATTTGCGCCTTTCAGCCGATTTCTGCGGAACTTCTGTTGTCAAGGTTAGCCTTCTCGGTTAGTTTCGTGGGACATTGTAGTCTCATTGTTGTGTTGTCATCTTTGTTTCCTATTTTACAGGTGTGCCACACATGAGGCCGTTCCAGAGAAGCCACGTAATGCTGGACAGCCCTCAAGAGAAGGCAGGGACATGAGTATTCCTCGCCATCCTAGGTTTCATAAAAGCAGAGCCAGTGCAGAGTTCTCTGGTACTGGGCTCACCAAAAGAATCGCACCTCCTGCTAGTGATTGTTTAACCTCACTTCCATATTTTGAACATCTCATTCATCACGGGCTATGTCTTTAGAAGCCAACAATAGGCAGCCTGCAGACCTGGGATTTCGATTGTCTATACAAATGAATACTTCGCTTCTTCTGCATGCTAGGGGTGGGTTTATGTGTTGCAGTGGTTTGGAAAGAACAGTAATTGATGTTATGATCCCGGATAAGAGAGGACGTGACACTAAGAACTGAGGGTTTAGAAAAATACCCTATAAAAAATGAAGATAGTTTTTTTCATATTTTTGACGCCCAAAAAAAAATCTTTGTAATTTAGGCCTATTGTTGAAATTTTTAAAATCGCACACCTTAGGGTTTAACGAATCAGTTGAGAGGTCGTTTTTTTATTTATTTATTATATCTGGGTCATCGATAGTTGTTTCCCCCCCCCCCCCCCCCCCCGTCATTTACAGCAGAGTCAGACAAATGAAGTATGTTTGGGGAAAGAGGTGACCCGGGCTGGGTCATTTGGGTGCGGTACGTTGTAGGACTTGTGAAATGCTTACAGGTCGACAGGACAACTCTCTTTTTCCTTTTTGAAGCGGCGTCTGCGCAACCCTGACTACTTGATCACTTAAGGAATACTGTTCTGCATATTTGCTAATATTTGTTGATCTTCCCGGAAGACCCGAAATTAGGTATGCAATAGTTATCACTCTCACACATTTGACTGTTACTTTATGATGAAACCCACGTCCCAATGTGGGATGCAATTTAAATATTTTGAAGCCACACTTTGGCTTTTGCCGGGGGCCTTAAATATGGCCTAACGGTTGAACATAGTTTCATGGACCTCTCGACGGGTGATCCTCATCCGCATGGTGGCACTTTGTGTCACCGGGTGTTTATCGCTTGTGTGATGTCCTGGTGGGGTACAACTTCCTACCTACTTCGTGGCAGTATTGAAGCCCTAATATAACTATGTTATTAGTTGTACTAGGTTTCTGGAAATTGTACTTGTTTGACTCTCATCCATAAGATAATAATCTCACAGACTGCAAAGATGTAGTTGGGTATATATATATATACATTTGAATGAATGTATATATAAACAAGGCGTCCCAAAACCAGGTGCCGGGCTGAGATTTGGCTTTCACACAGACCAGACAGCCGGCAAAAATAGCTGGCCTCACTTTCTGGAGCCAAGCCCCGAGGTAAGGACGTGTCTCTGACAGCCGGCTTCTTTCTCTCGCTACTTTATATCCGTGACAGAGAACAACTTTTTACTCTCATTGTATTCGACATTGTCCTTGTTTCTATTCTATGTACAGCAAGTTTTCGACAGTTTTAGTGAGCTAAAAATATATAATAAAATAAATTCACCCATTAAAATGTTCCGATTTTGCGTTGTCTGGTCACTGACCTCGCGAGGGCATTTATTCAGTAATTCACCGTGTCGTGCTAATTAATTTCAAGTCATGCTCACAGTGTTTGATTACGTGCCATTTGTTTCTCCCAGATTGTTGAATACTGATATTTTACTGAGCATTCTATTGCGAATAATCTGAATATAAAATGTTGATCTTGCCGTAATCGAGGGTCAAGGTCTCCTGTCGACCTTGCTGAGAAAGTTCAAGGTGACTATCTTGAAACAAAGGGGAAGGGGGAGCACCGGGAGGACAATGTGATTTCAGTCCACTTATATTACTAATAAGGTTCCGCAATTGGGCAGGAAATTCTCTTCTCATTTATGAGGAAGGCAGGTCCAAATTAAACAGACTGACTGCCGTTCATCTGCTGTACCTTGTGTAACTGTAATATCCGGCGGAAAGTTCTGGTTTTTCGTCCATTTATGGTCTTATTCCAGAACAGGATGATTTTGCGTGCACATCTGTTTTTCTGTATCTGCCTTTATGTGTGCAGACTGTTGTTTTTTCGCCTGCCAGGCAAATGCACTCCAACTTTGAAGGAAATAGACGATTTGGTTGCCTTTTGAGGGCAGGCTTTAAAAGAAAAAAAGAGGGAAAGGGGCACTAGATCTTTCTCCCCCCCCCCCCCCCCCCCCTTCCCCTGAATCCGGTTTTATTTTTTAAACTGCCTCTGAACCCACAGATAAAAGATAATGATAATAGCAGCTCCCTCTGTGTGTGGGGGAGGGGGGGGGGGGGTTTAACTCTCACTTGTTGGGAAAACTAGAAAAGATCCATTTCCTCTCCGAGGACGCTTGTGGATCAGAATTAGAAAGTTCTAGAAGTGTCCAAGATGAAGTTGTAGATAACCTGATACGTTACTTGCCGACCTGCTTCTGCGAGTGTGCCTCACCGCCGAGTGTATCCCCCGCGCCGCTACGCGCGGCGCAGATGAGGGACTAAACTAGGTGCCTGGGACTCACGAGTACAGTAATTGGAGGAAGTTGCAGGAGATGAGGTAGCTGCCGCTTGTGAGTCCCAGCCATCTAGTTTACGACGCGGGAGATACGCTCGGCAGTGATGCACACTCGCAGAAGCAGGTCGGCAAGTAACGTATCGCCGAGACCCTGTCAGAGCATTTGTTTTGTTATCCGGAGCCGGCACATATATTTTTAATAGAACTGACCCGCATTTGGATATTTTTGGATATTTTATGGCAAGAAATTGACCAATTTAGCTCTTTCAAACGCCATCATATTAAAGCCACCATTTTGGGGGTTGATTCAAAGGAGAGCTCCTGTTTGCAAGATAGATAAATCTGAAAGTTCTATAAGTGTTCTAGATAAAGTGTCTGCAAGAGAGGTGAATCAGAAAGTTCTAGAAATGTTCAAGATGAAGTTGTAGATAAAATGTCTTCAAGAGAAGTGAAAGTTCTAGAAGTGTCCAGGATAAAGTTGCAGATAAAATGTCAGCAAGAGAGATGAATTAGAAGGTTCTAGAATTGTTCGAGATGAAATTATAGTGTCTACAAAAGAGGTGAATCTGAAAGTTCTAGAAGCGTTGAAGGTGAAGTTTAAAGTTTCTGCAAGAGAGGTGATTTTGAAAGTTCTAGAAGTGTCTGAGATGAAGTTATAGATTCCTTCGAAGTCAGAGTACTTTTACCTGAAAGGCAATAAGTCAAGTCTGCATACAAATAAGCCAGATCTGTAAAACAGATGTGCACGCAAAACACATGTTGTAGAACAAGACCAGAAGTTAATGAACAATTAGACTTTTCCACCAGAGTTTACAGCCAGTGAATGTGAAGAAGTTATAGAAACAGTTTGTGTGTGCAGGTGTATCTTTCTCACAGTGTGTTTATACTGTTGTGTTTCAGATACCTAACAAAACAAAATGTCTGGACTTAAAGTTGGAATCAACGGGTAAGTTTAGCGGCTGCTCCTGTGCCTGTCTCTCTTCTGTGTTGGGAGTTAAGTTCAGATATACCTCAGACTGTCCACTGTATTTGTTGCTTCAATGATGTGTGTTCCTGGAACAATCTGGTCGCAGTTGGTGTGAATTACATGGATACCTTGCCCCGGCCATTCATGCGTGTTTGGGAATGAGCAGGCAGATAGGTTGGCTGGGACTGGTCCCACTTGGGGGTGAGTGCAGCTGCACAAGGCAAAAGCAATCTCTCTCATCAAACAGGGTATCAAGTAACATAGAAGGTATTGGAAAACCATACCTGGAAAGAATGATGCAGCAGGGTGTGTCTGCAGCTTCTGGTGCCAGTCAGGACTGGAATGGGGGAAGGGTAGTTAACCAGTTAACGAATATTGTCAATATGTAAAATATTCTTTATCTGTTGAGGGGAGAGATGAAGCTAATATGATCTTGTCCTGAATGGTATGGTGTCGAAACTTTACCCAGACTTTGATGGGGCACCATTTTGTATATTTTGGCTATCCTCCGAATAACGGTCCTAAATTATTGAGGCGGAAAATATACCCTAACAGGGTCTCAGTCACGTGTCAATTGCCTACCTCCGCCGTCTTAAATTACGCACTTCCGGCGACTTCCGCAACCGCCGAGAGTATTCCCCACGCCGCTGACGCAGCATGGATTGGGGCTAAACTAGGTGGCTGGGACTCATGAGCAGCAGCTACGGCATATCATGCAGCTTACTTCATTTTATTTGCTTGTGAGTCCTAGCCATCTAATTTAGCCCCAATCCACGCCGCTCACGCGGCATGGGGATACTCTCAGCTGTCGCCAGAAGTTAGCAATTCGGCGGTGGCGTTATAGTCCCCGGAAGTGTGCAGTTGACACGTGACTGAGGCCCTGTTATGGTATATTTTCCGCCTCGATAATTTAGGACCGTTATTTAGAGGATAGCCCATATTATTTCTGCTAGTTTCTGTGTTTGTGGGAACTGTCTGTTGACAGACATGAGACATGGTGGAAACATATCACCAGCAGTTTTTATGTTAATCTAAGACGCCAGTTCCACAGCCCTGATCTACAGTCTTCTCATCATTCTTCAGTATAACATATAGTATAACAATATATCGGCTAACTGTTTATGGTTGATTTCTTTACATCATATGTCAATAATGCTTTTAACCTTACTTGACAAAGACCAATTGCATACAAAATAACCTGGTGTTAATTTACACTTTCGCAGGTTGAAAGTCAAGACATAAATTTAAAAAATAAGAAACAGATACATACAAGAACCTGTCTAATATGTACATTTCAGCTAATCGTTAATTTAATTGTGCCTGTCAGTTGTACCCCTTTCTGAAACCTGTTTTATAACTTTTACAGATTTGGTCGCATTGGTCGTCTGACCTTGCGTGCTGCCCTCGAGAAGGGAGTCAACGTTGTCGCAGTGAATGACCCATTTATCAGCCTGGAGTATATGGTCAGTACTGGTTTCTGGAGTTATTGTCCAGTTACTTTAGGCCAGAATTCTCCTTTAGTGCAGCCTTTAACTCATTTGCCTATATATAACACATTGTCCAGATTTTTGGCTTTCGCAGTTTCCACATTATTCACTGAATTTTCTCCAAGTGTTAGCCGGATTCATAGTCTACTCACATTGAATATTCTTTTGCATACTCTTTTGTCTCTCTGTTTTCTGCTATTCTCTCTATATGTCCCAATCAACTGTTGGCAGTCTGTTAAGATGCCAGTAATAGGTGGTGATTCAAGCAGATTAAAAATTTGCTCCCAGACTCGGTTCTCAAAAGTAAGACTGTCATTTTTTTTTCAGTTGTGAGCCAGGTTTCTGAGTTTATATCAGTGTTTTCTAAATTGTAATCATGGTGTTATGAGACAGAACATTGAATGATTCGAGCAGATGTTGTAGGGCATAGTTTGCCTCATTTTCTTATGGTAATTTCCTTGTGAGTTACAAACAAAAGTTATCCTATGGGGGGGGGGGGGGGGGGGGGGGGGGGGGGGGGGGGGGGGGGGGTGGGGGGGGGGGGGGGGGGGGGGGGGGGGGGGGGGTGGACGTTACAGAAACACCAGAGATCACAACTGATGCAGGTGCTGGACATTGAAGCTGTAGTTTTTTCCCGGAAGCTTTACTGGAGGTTGTCTGAATGGGATTATAGTATTTAACTGCCACAGTTGTAAATGTTTTGTGTGTTTATCTGCTGCAGTTGTAAATGTTCTGTGTGTTTATCTGCCACAGGTGTATATGTTCTGTGTGTTTACCTGCCACATGTGTATATGTTCTGTGTGTTTACCTGCCACAGGTGTACATGTTCTGTGTTTTTTCTTGCCACAGGTGTACATGTTCAAGTATGACTCCACCCATGGTCGTTACAAGGGATCAGTTAAAGAGAACAGCGGCAAGTTGGAAATTGATGGACACCTCATTACTGTGTTCGCTGAGTAAGTGTCTATCCATATGTTTCTGTCTGTTCTAGTCTATCTTTGTCATCATTATGTAGCAGGTTCTTTACAGAATGTGACTCTCATCATTGTCTGCCTGAAAGAAATTCAGTCTCTGTTATGATACTTTCCCATCTCAGGCACTTTCCTACCAAAGGTGTCACTTATATCCTGTATCCGTCACTGTGATGGTTAGTCCCTGTCCCACTTTCCTGGTGCTATACCTTCTATTATTTTGTTTCCAGTCCAGCATGGCATTTGATGTGGCACAACTATTTTGAATTTCCAGACAAGATGCCAATCTTCCTTGATATTAAGATCTTTTACAATGTCAGTGTATCTTTTCTTATTGATCCATGGTATTATGAGAATCTTTCTATAGCATTTCAGCTCAAAAATCCCAATTTGCTTTATTAATGACTGTGAGATAGTCTACGACTCGCATCCATTATGTTGCTACAGGTAAGATGCATGCCTTCCACATAAAAAACAAATTTAGTGGGTGCCTAACTCTTTGAGTCCCAGGGGGTTTAGCATCACAGGCCCAGGGGGTAGTAAAGAGAGTCATAAAATCAGCGCATCTTGCATTCATTGGGTTTCTAGGTAGGAACCTATGAACGTATGATGCGTTTCTTGAGACTCAAAAGAGTTAACTATAGACTCCTAATGCTGTTTAAAATCTTTAAAATAGCATTACTGAGAAATTACCTGGCTGGTTTCTTGGCACATCACAGGTAAATGAAGGCAGAGAACAAAGTCGTCTATTGATTTGTTATAACAAAATATAAAGGCAAAACTTTTGGCCAAGAGAAACATTTGTGCAAATCCGACTTTAGGGGTCACCGAGTGAATTACAAAAGACAGGGAAGTTCATTTGCCATGACATATGCTGTCATTGTTTCTGTGTGCAGCTTTTCTCTTCTTAAAATTTTGTCTGGAAAGTGGCCTGTTTTGTGTACTCTTCTGTTCTTTCTCTTTACCAATTGTGAATGAGTGAATCAACAATTGACATCCCTACATTCAAGATATTCTCACACATGCTGCATCTCCTCCTTTAGTAGCCAACAAAGAGTCGATATGCTAATTGTACCAGTTGCAACCTGATTGAAAGTCACCTCTGTCTTCCCCTCAGTGTTGAATATCTTCCGGATCCTCTCTTCTCTCCCCCCCCCCCCCCCCTTCCGGATCCTCCTCTCTTCCCCCCCCCCTTCCCCCCCCCCCCCCCCCCCCCCCCCCCCCCCCCCCCCCCATCTCTGCTGAATTAGTCTGTCAAGGTATGGATGCTCGTCTATTTTATTGCACTGTCCACTTAATCCCATATAGCCTTTACCACATCCGCTTTGTCATAAAGAGGCGCCTGTAGCTATCAGCCTGCTCATTACCCTGTGCACCTGAATATCCTGGACAGAAAATCCATGATATGCTCCTGATCTGAGCAGTTATTTGCTGTGCATCTGTTTTGGCTAATGTCCCAAACTAGAAAATATTCCAAATATTATCCCCTAATTCGTCCCATTACTGCTGAACGACTTTCTCCATTTTGTCTTATGTGCCAGTGCTCCATTCTTTGACAAACTATGGGCTTCTAAAGAATCTCTGCTGGAATTTGAGTAGACTTTTAGTCTGCAATGCTGTATTTTTAAAATATAATTTAAGTCATTACTAAAGGGAGTGCAAGTTTCTCATGATGCATGAAGTTCATATGGGTCTCTGTGGCGAAGTGGTCAAGCCTCATGCTCTGAAGGTAGTGGGTTCGTTTCACTGTTGTCTTCAGCAGTTTATGGGTGCAATATTTACAGAGATCCTCTGGGATTGTCACAGGAGCTACAGAGTTCTCCTCTGTGCATCCCTTTTGGCAGGCAGCTAGCCATTATTAGGAGTGAGACCGAGCCAGATGGGATAAAACCTGGTGCAGTGAAGTCGATCCTCTCAATTTTAACTTTAAACTTTCATTAGTGTAACACACAACACCCCTCCATAGCTTTTCTAGCCTTTATTGAAGCAGTATGTGAATGCCTATGTCTGGATGCCAGCAGTGTACTTGTGAGAGTATATTGTTCCTATCTTTTGTATGTTACAGGAAAGATCCTGCTGCCATTAACTGGAAGTCAGCAGGTGCTAACTACGTTGTTGAATCGACAGGTGTATTCACAACAGTGGACAAGGCTAATGTGAGTTGATGCAGAGAATATCATTTGTTACATTCATATCGTATTTACTATTTTCCCTGTGTGGGTTCCAGTGCTGCATTTTGGAGAATAAATAATACACCTCTTGCTCCCCTAACAAGCATGTCCCAGAAGGTGACCAGTTAGGGGAGTTTCCTTCAAAGTTTAAGTGCATCTGCCTGAAAGGCATGGAAATCAGCATTCTACATACAAAGAAGATGGATATGCAGCAAGACTAAAATCCAAGAATGGGTGAACAACCAGAACTTTCTGTTGTTTATAGCTGGTGAATGCACAAAAGAAGATATTTAACATTTGCTTATCTTCAAATTTTTATTTCCTGTGTCTTATTTCTGCCGTTTTATTATGTGTCAGAGGAAATGCTTCAGAAAGGCAGTTGAAATTTCCAGAAGACAATCTTGAAAGAATGTCACCATGTGGCCAATTCATAGAGAAACAATATTTTGGACATCTGTGAATGTTGAATTAAGAATTGACATCACAGCACTGGATGACACCCATCTTCAGCAGCAAGTGAATAGTTAAATTTCAATGGTACCAGTAGCTGTCTGATTGTATATCTGACTCCCCTTTCCTTTGAGTTTCGAGTGTCTGCCGGATCCCCCTTACAACTCTTTGTAGCGCCATTCTCCTCAGACCATAATGATCTATTTGTGCCTCTGCAGTGTTTAATCGCTCCCAAAGAGCCCCCACAACATTTAACTTGTCATACATCATATTCCTAGCAGGTAGCACAGAACCGGCCAGTCTATCTGCCTGCTCATTTCCCAACACACTGGCATAACCTAGAGAAAATATCCAAAGGATGCTAACAACTCTGGACCTTTTAAGTTATGCTTGCCACTCTGCATGGAGCATGTCTGTCTCCACCTTTCTAAACATGCTGTGTGAGTCAATGGCTGGACATCTGTGAACGCTACAGAATCATCAGCTTGAGAGCATTCGGTCGTAAGGGACCTGGAGGTAGAGGAGTACCATGAGAAAAATCAGTGCATGATGAGCTAACAAAATATACAGCTTGAGGGCTGTACATGTGGACAGGGAACAGGACTTCCCCTGTCCCCTACACAGTGGAGAATATGGGTTAGGAAAATACACATCGTCCATCTAGGGCAAGACAATAGATGAAAATAAGAGATCAGATATGTAGTTTGATAGTTATAGACTGACCTGTTATTGTGACAGCATGTTTTTATGTGGTACTAAAGTCTGTTCCTACCAGACATCTCACTATATGTTCCTTGCGCATGTTCTTTACTTTTGTATTCAGCTTCTCGTGCCTGGCTGATTAAAGCCTCTTGTGTCTATCCGTTAATTTCTTCTTTTTTTTTTAGTCAGTTATTTCTTTGTTAATATCAAGCCACTTGTTTTTCCAATTTCATTAATTTTAAACCACTTTTCCAGTGCTTGGCCTGTTATTTAACACACCTCTGGCCAGCTGTATAATTTCTTAGTTGGCCAGTTGATTTTTCGCATGCCTGATGAATTAACTCTTCATCTTAAGCCTGTTGTTTTTCTTATTTAACCAATTGTTATGATGTCTTGCAAGTGTTAAACTAACAAATAATGCAATTATTCTCAATGTTGGCTCAAGAGATGGGTTACTTTAAGCGCTATTCCAGGTGTCCGACAGTTTATTACTGTGATGTAACAGCTATTTGGGACAGATTTAGTTTCTTTCATCTGGTCCACATGTACATTGATAGCTGACATTTTATTTCATAAAAATATATATTTACCATAGGTACATATTAAGAGTGGAGGTGCCAGCAAAGTAGTCATCTCAGCCCCTTCAGCTGATGCCCCCATGTTTGTGCTGGGTGTCAATGAAGACAAGTACACCAAGGATCTGACGGTTGTCAGCAATGCCTCCTGCACCACCAACTGCCTGGCCCCTCTCGTCAAGGTCATCAATGACAAGTTTGGAATCGTTGAAGGATTGATGACAACCGTGCATGCTACAACCGCCACTCAGAAGACTGTTGATGGCCCCAGCAATAAGGTATTTTACACTTTTTTTCCCACTGGAGCATGAGCCTTTAACTGCTGTTATCAAACATTGGTCTTTTGTCATCTCTTTCAGTCTACATGTGAATTTATCATAATTTTCTTCTTCGGCTTTAAACTCTGGCATAACTTTCTGGTTCTTTGTCCCTTTCTGGACTTCAGTCTTGTTCTTGAACTTAAGTTTTGCGTGCACGTCCGTTTTGCAATAATGGCCTTTTTTATGCAGACAGTTTGTTTGCTTCTCAGGCAAACTCTCCTAATGTTCTTGAAGACAATGCTTGTTAGGGGAATGCTTGATCTATTCTTTTAACTCCACTGTAGGTGGCAAAGATGGCGGCCGCAAAATATCCAGCCGAGTCAGTCACGTGTCAATTGCGCGCTAATGTGCGCTTTTCCGGCGACTATGGCTACGGCCACGTGGATTGGGGCTAAACTAGATGGCTAGGACTCACAAGCAAGGCTGCAGGAGATGTGGAAGCTGCTGCTCGTGAGTCCTAGACATCTAGTTTAGCCCCAATCCACGCTTCGTGGGGGCCACATGGCGGTAGCGGTTGTTGGCGGGAAAACCGCAATTTAAGTAGCCGGAAGCGTGCAGTTGACACGTGACTGCGGATATTTTGCGGCCGCCATCTTTGCCGACCATTAGTCGGAGGATAGCCAATTTTTGTGAATAATTTTTTTTTTTTTTGTAAATTACAAATTACAGATGCCATGGATAAGTGCAATTTCGAACCCTTGGGGAAGAGCGAAGAACCATTGTGGAACTGCTGCTTTAAATATGGGAAACATAAAAAGTTGACCATTAAAGGGCAAACCATGTTCTGCAAAACTGTCCCTTGTACAGACCATTTATAACAAGGGATTACTGGCCCAGTAAGTCAGCTCTGTACTCTTGACACTAAAGGGGAACTAAAAAATGTCAAATATATCAAAAGAAGTCACCAATTGTGTAAATCTGGAGTGTAATCATTAGGAGAAAAAGACAGTATAATGGTATAGCAGCTGAGTGTTGTCTGCCACCCACCCACTCGAAAGATGCAAACGTTCGATCGGATTATTATTACAGCTTACATTTTAGGGCCAGAAAAGGAATGACTTCCCTTCCCATTCATAAATCGCTGTGTTGCGCAGCTTGTCCTATGTTGCAGGGGTGTCAGCTACACTGCATAGTCATGCAACTTAGGCTGCATGCGTTTGTGGAACGTAGGGTGGTGGGGTTAGGGCCAGTTCTGCATGTTTTGGGAGAGCTCACATCCTGTAATATAGAACACGTGATATCAGCCGGTGACAAGAACTAGTAAAATGCTGCATGTTGTTGGCCAGTTACTAAGCGTGTCCTTATAGGGCAAGCCCTGCAGCACGGCCATTTATGAATGGAAAGGAAAGTCACTCTCTTTCTGGACCCAAAAACGAGAGTTGTACAGTTATTCATGTGCAAATGTAAATTGCCATGTTGGTCATTTACAACCAAAACTGAATGGACAAAAGCCATAGGTAAATTTGTTTCTATAGTAAATACTGCTGATTTAAGCAGTGATGTAAATTGTTTTGTTTGTTTCTTAGCTTCATAATTTTTCAGTCTATTTCTAAACATAATGATATTTTTCCATGTGGATTCCGGGGCTCCCTTTGTGGGGAAAACTTCCCAACAAGCATGTCGTAGGAGTCATCTAATTGGATGCTTCCTTCGAAGTCAGAGTGCATCTGCCTGAGTGGCAAGGAACAACCAACTGTGCACAAATAAGCCTGTAAAACGGATGTGCATGCAAAGCTCAGGCCCGGGCACAAACCCAAAGTCCAAATGGACGAACAACCAGGACTTAGTGCCAGAGCTTACAGCCAGTGAAGAAAGAATAAGAATGATATTCCTGTCGAATTTTTTTTGTATCAGATTAATGCTAGCCTTGCAAATTCCTTATTTTCTACACATAAGTTTTTTTCTGCACTCACGTAGGACTGGCGTGGAGGTCGTGGAGCTGCCCAGAACATCATCCCATCTTCAACTGGTGCCGCAAAAGCTGTAGGAAAAGTCATCCCTGCAGTCAACAAGTGAGTATTTGATTTCAGCCTAGCCTTCCTTGTATAGAGCACTCATTCTTCAGCTGTGTTGTCTGGCTTCTGGCTACCATTGAGCAAATGTTTTTTTCCCTGATTTCTGCAATGAGACACTGTTGAGGGAGGAACTGGTCTCCATCGTAACTGGTATATGTGAGCGATCAGTGAGCACTGATTCCCTCAACACTAGTCTGGGTTGTTCACCGTTAAGCAGGTAGTTTATGCTTGATTTCTCTGATATGAGGAAACAAACTTTTCTCTCTATGATGCATGTTAGGTATATGTGGCTTGCCTCAATAATTTTAGGTCTATAGGCACTTTGTTTTTAATATGGTCAGTGTATCGGCTGCTTTTGTGTTCTAAAAAGTTGAGTTGATTGCCAGGAGTCCAGGTTAAAAAGATTTATTTTTGTGTTCGTCCTTTTTTAAAGTAATTCAGAAATGCATGGTGGCAGGAAGGAAATCAAAAACCCATCTGGCACAGAGCCATGCACAAATGAATCTTTACCCAATACATTAGATATAATGGATAATCTGAGGGACAGCACTAACATGCCAGATTTTAGTAGTGGTTTATGTTTGAACTATTTATGTTTTTTATACTTTTGCAGCAAACTAACTGGCATGGCTTTCCGTGTCCCAGTTCCTGATGTGTCGGTTGTGGACCTGACTGTCCGACTGGAGAAAGGGGTAAGTGGTTGAATCATTTTCCCCGACACACAACTTCACTCATCATCATCATGTAGCAGGTTCTTTGCAAAATGTCGCTCTATCATAGTCTGCCTGAAAGAAACTCGGTATCTCGCCAGCTCTCTCGCCTCATGTGCTTCCATACTCAAGGAGTCACTTATATCCTGTGCCTTTCGTGTTGGTCGGCTCCTGATCCTCCTTCCTGGTACCATGCCTTCTGTTATAATTTTTTTTCCAATCTGTCGTGGCCCTTGATATGACCAAAATATTTCAGCTTCCGAGACAGTATGCTGTTTATTAGCCAATCCTCCTTGACTCCACAGCTTTACTAGCTGGTTGATAATCAGGAAGCACTGTGATTTGTATGCTTGCTGTAACGCAGTGACTTCCATTACATGCATGGGTGAAGAAGTTCAGGCTGTTGTTTTGTGCATAATTTTCACTAACACCAAATGATGCCCATTTGAATTATGGCTTGAATAAAAGTCCGCCCGGCTCTCTAGCGGAATTGGCTAAACCGGATTTCGCGGAGACCGGGTGACGTACTCCTTGTGGTCCGGGTTCAATCCCGGGGGTAGGCAGGAAAGCCACATTTTCTCCCAGATTTACGGTATTTACAATGGAATCAAGGCCGAAAGGTTGCGATATCCATAATACCGAGCCTAAGGGTTAACAACTCATGGCTTCTGGATACTAAAACAAACAAACGAATAAAAGTCCACTCGCTTGTCATATTTTATTAATTTTCTTTACAAGGAAAATCTGGTTGCCCATACAAATGTCTCTGAATTAAAATAAAGCACTGACTGCCTAAAGACATCCTAGAATGTCCATGTGAGGAAGAAAAGGTCACAGTGGAGAGAGGAGGATTAGACTACAGTGGAGAGAGGAGGATTAGACCACAGTGGAGAGAGGAGGATTAGACCACAGTGGAGAGAGGAGGATTAGACCACAGTGGAGAGAGGAGGATTAGACCACAGTGGAGAGGGGAGGGTTAGACCAGAGTGGTGAGAGGAGGATTAGCCCACAGTAGGGAGATAAAGATAACGCCACAGTGATGTGTGTAAAGGGGAGACACCCTACCTCACCCCAGGTGCCAGCAGGCTTTGGGCTGGTTTTTAGGAACCTCGTACAAGACTTTTGTCCCCCGTACTCGTTGTGCACCATGGACAGTTGCCAGTATCGGCCTAAACCGAGCTGGTGTCTCCCAGAGATGTGGTAACCATAAACCTCTGGCGTCAGCCCTGTCTTTATGCTTGGGTGAATATGTTCATTAAAAACTCAAGTGTTGTTGATCCCAAAGGGAAGCCAGGCCTGACGCATACTTCCCCTATACTGCCTTGCTAAGTGCCAGAAATGCCTGCATGACTGAAACCATTGGCTACGAAGAGAAGTATTACGTTTGTAGGAAGTGAGATGCTTTTTTGCATGTTGCATCAGTCTTAAATCTGCTTCCGTTTGAACTCTAAAAGCACCAGCCAATGTTAAATGAGAGTCACAGTATATGGCTGTGAGGTTAGCCTCATGTGCATGAGGTGACGATTCCTTAGATGGAGCCCAGTATCAGAGCACCATGTATTGGCTCTGCATTTTTAGAAACCTCATGGGTTGGTGGCGAATACCCTTATTCTGCCTCTACCTTTCCCTTGAGGGTCAGCCAGTCCTGCAGGGATAATGTTGGAGAAGGGGATAAAGAAGTCACCACACAGAGGCTGTAAAGTCTTTAAAGTGAATAACTTTTACAGAATAAAGTTCAGCAACCGGATGTTTAAACATTTGGTTTGTAGTTAGGTTTTATATGTATACCTTGTCCGCAGATATTTACCAAATTTATTTGTTTCTGCAACAGGCAACCTACGATGAGATCAAGAAGGCAGTCAAGGATGCCTCTGAGACATCCCTGAAGGGTATCCTGGGCTACACTGAAGATGATGTTGTGTCCTCCGACTTTTTGGGTGATGCCCGCAGCTCAATCTTTGATGCTAATGCTGGCATTGCTTTGAACAGCAACTTTGTGAAGCTTGTTGCCTGGTGAGTTGAGCATCTTTGGTTATTGTTACTTGTTGGTGTCAGTAGAGTCAATTATGCTTGCAGCTTGCACCTGTTCTGCTGCTCTCATCCGATGACGTCAGTGCGTCCATTTACAGCATGGCTGCAAAATTTCCGCCTTTTCAGCTAACATATTCCACTTCTGCAGACATTTGTTCTCTGGATTAGCCTTCCTGGTTACTTTTGTGGGACATTGCAGTCTCATTATTGTAAGGTCACACTTGCATATGTTCAAGATTACAAAAGCACAATATAAGGCAACTGCCTGAAGAGAATGGATGGGTTGGAAAACCAGCCTGCAGGTGGTTAGACAGGATAGAGCTGGTTTCTGGGCGTGTTGAGGAAATAGGCCTGATGTAATTGTATGTCAGCTTTGGTCCAAGGTCAGAGTTAATATCCAGGTGTGTTGCACTCTTCTTTTTAGTATTCACCCACTGTAACATCTGGTGGAAAGTTCTGGTTGTTCATCCATTTATGGACTTTGGTCTTGTTCCAGAATTCTCCATGCAAAAATTCTTTTCTTAATCTCCAATGACATGAATCTATTGCACAAAATAATCTTTATTTTGTAAAATGCAGTTTTAACCTCTATTCTGTTCTTTATCTCTGTGACACATCTTCCAACAGTAAAGTGCATCAGCTATGCACTGGTCAGTGTCAGAAGTAGAAACTGATTGGTGCTGAAAGAGTTTAAAAGTGAGAAGATGTGATCGTCAGAAATTGAAAGCAGCAATTATATGTATTCAACAGCTGTGTGGGTGCTGGGTCACTATTTTCTGGAGGGAAGAAGAGAATAGACTCACTGCCTCCTTAACAAGCATATCATACATGGTGATAGTTAGGGATGTTTTGTTTTCTTGGAGGTTTGTGGATCTCCCTGTGATGAACCTACCAAATGCATACAGATAAGCCAAATCTGTCAAATGAGTGTGCATGCAAAACTAAGTTCTGGAACAAGTCCAGAGGTAGACGAACAACCAGAACTTACCGCTGGAGCTTACAGTCACTGAATGCAAAGAGAATTTTTAAAAGCATGATGTGTCCGAAATTTAAAGTAGCATTTATATGTATTTTTTTTTAAACTTGACAACAGCCATTAAATAAATACCTTGTATTTTTTCTGCAGCATTTATGTGTATTCTGTTTTATAACTAGATTGTGCAGTGCGAACAGATGATGGTTTAATTTATTGGTGCGAAGGAGATACTGGAGTGCAACAGGGATGTATTTTATCTCCTCTGTTATATGGCATAACCTTTGACCGGGTGATTAACCCTATGTGACATACAATGGCACAACAGTGAATAAATGAATGTTTTGTAACTCTTGACAACAGCAATTAAATATCTTTGTGTTTTCCCTGACAGGTATGACAATGAATATGGTTACAGTAACCGGGTGGTGGAGCTCCTCCAGCACATGTACAAAGTTGACAACCAGTAAAAGAAGCCGACATCAGCGCTAGAGCACCTGGAGATCATTTTTGTGTCCCTACCCAAGCTTTTGCAATTTACAAAGTATCTTCTTCTCAACACTCGTCTCGATAAAGTATTAGTTTTGTAAGTGATGTGAAACCAGATCCACGTGGATTGCTGGTAATAAATGTATAGAACCATCCCTACGAGTTGAATTTTTGATTTATAAATATTTGTAGCTAGTAATTTGATTCTTAATAGTTATATGTCATGGTGGGGAGTTGAAATTAAAATACTCTGTTCATGCCAGTGGCGCGTAAGGCATATGTTGCTAGACACATATTTTTAGAGACCCATCTGCTCTCTGTGTTTGAAAAAGTCAGTGTCGCTCCGGTAATTTGTGGTGTGTCATAATCACAGTCGCAAGGTGGCTAGGAATTTTAATATGAAAAAATGTGCTTTAATTTATTTATATATATATATAAAATTTGGTAGAATGTTATACCTAATTCAGATTTAGAACATCCAGCTTAACTGATTACTTGGTGTTTAAACTAGAATGCTTTATTAGCAGTCATCTGGCTGTAATAATTTATTGCCCTCATTAGTAAACAGGCTGAAAATATCTTTTTGTATGATAGTAGATTTACTTTTCCTAAGATTTTTTTGTGGGTACCATGTTGATGTAGTTGCTTGTTAAAACAATCTTCAACATTATACAAGGGGATTTTGCTTTCATGTTGTGGAGTGTGCTCTCTTGTATGTGGATGAGACTTCAATCTTTCAAGTTGTTGGTTTATGTGGATGTTTGGCTGGCTGGGGGTGTGCTCTACACTCAACAACGGGAGATTGAACCAGAGGCCTGTAGAAGCTTAGCAAGTGGCCCGCGGATCATTGGCAGAACAATGAAATCGTTTGTTAAAAAATCTTTCTAAACTGGGCGATCTCCATTTTCATCATTTTGACCCATTGAGTAAACTTTGAGTGGCCCTTGCAGTGTGCTTCAATTCCTAGACTGAGATTGAAATGAATGAAGGTATTTCTGTCGTCCTCTCAAATCTGTTTTAACAGAAAGATAGTATAATCCTGTGGCTGATATTGTTTGTTTTCACTGGTTGAAGAGCATCAAGAAGTTGTCAGAGGTTGTGGAGGTTGGGCATAGTCTATTCAGCGAGCTAAGCAGATGCATCTCATCAGTCAGTAGGTCTTTTACATAGCGTCATTCTCTTCACAGCATTCCTGAAAGTCTCTTTCTCTAGCCAATGCTTACACCCTAGGTGCTTTCATATCCAGTGTGTCTTGTATCCTCACATTCAGTCAGTCAGTCTCTGGTTTGTTTTATAGGCCACCATGATATTGAACGTGGTTAAAATACCTAGAGGTAGTGAAATGGCCAAAATACCTTGAGTCAGCGACATGGCAAAACGGTGACGTGTCAGAATACCCAGAGGAAGTGACGTGACCACAAACCTATTGGCAGTGAAAGATAGATATGAATTTAGCTTTATCCATCAATATTATTTTAAGGTGGAAACCAGCAAGAGTGTTAGACTATATTGGCTACCCAGTGACTGAAGACTAGCTAGTGTTAGACTATATTAGTTACCCAGTGAAGAGCCAGTGTCGAATGAAGTTTATCCCCGTCCAGTCATTTCACCAGACAAAGTCCTACTTCGAATCTCCATCTACTATATTTACATTTGTTGCCACTGGCCAGGTGTTTTTTTCATTATCTTTAATACAGTGTATTATTTGCATGATTTGTCTAGTGATTTATTTCTCGATATAAATTTGCAACAATTCAGCAGTGTTGTTAACTGTTTATAAAACTTAATTCTTTTTGTCCGATTTTCCCTTTATTAAACATTTACATTTATAGCTAAACTACAGTATTCTGCATAATCAGTTTGCCCATGTGAGTTCTAGGGGCCCCATTGGTGGGGAGGGGGGGGGGGTATGTTGTTAAAGGTTACTAATTAGGGTTGTGTCCTTTTCAAGTCCAAGTGCATCTGCCTGAGAGGTTAAGAACCAACAGCCTGCATACAGTTATGCAAAAATATATATTTGTAAGCAAAACTCATGTTCTGAAACAAGACCAAAGTTTACGAATAACCAGAATTGTTTGTACCATTTGTGCATATGCAAGATAGTTTTCCTAATCTTACTAATTTTTACATAGTTTTCCTAATCTTACTAATTTTTACAGATGGCTTGCTCTCTCTTTTCTTTCTAGATATTTGTCTATCTCATTCTTCACCGTGGTTCAGTTCCGTGTTATTGCTTGTATAATCTCTCCGCTTCCACTCATCCTCCCACCACTCTCGTCTCATTCTTCAGTGTGGATCAGCCCCAAATTTTGCCTATACAGCGCTGTTAGGCTACTCTTTTCGAATTCCAATTGTCTGGGGATTCTTTTACGTGCGCAACAATACATGCGGGTGTTCGATCTTACTACCCAGAGACCACGTGAAAAAATCCCAGCCTTCACCCAGTACCAAAAGGGCCATGTGTGGGCTCTTCATTTTTGGGAAGCCTGTCTGAATGGCAGTGCATGCCTATGATCTGCCCCTGTCTTCCATTGAGGGTCGACCAATTCGTCTTGGGCGAGTCCTGTAGGGACAATACCTCGGGATGACAAAGCCACCACACAAATGAGGTTACAAATGTCTCATGAAAGTCACTAGGAAGGCAAACCCGGAAAACAAATTCCAGAAGTTGAAGATGCTCAAATATCGCAGCTATGCGCAACGCATTTACGTCACTCGGACGAACGATGGGGAAGAAGAGCTGAAAGGAATTATGAGAAAAAGGATATCACAATTCGAAACGAGTTTCCCGTATGGATTCCGGAACCCTCTTGTGTTGGGGAGGAAAGGTGGGGGGGGGGGGGGTAGAGAGTGAAATAGTCCACTGCTCCATAGAAAAGAATTGTTAGAGCAGACTCATTAGGGGTTGCTTCCGAAGTCGAAATGCAACTGCCTGCGGCAAGGAACCAACGGTCTGCATACAAATAATTAAAAACGGATGCCCACACAAAACAGGTTATGGAGTGTTCCAGAAGTGGACAAACAACCGAAATTTTCTGCTGGAGTTTACAGCCAGGGAACGCAAAGAAGAACAAGAGATGGCGTCCAGATGCCTAAGAGGTAAGGTGTTGTGTTGTGTGGTAGGAGCATGTTGTGACCACTAGAAAGATCTGTGGAAGGAGGGATAGAGGAAGACAACGAGAAAAGATCCTTTACAGTCTTGTTGCATGGCATGGAGGTGTGTCGACACACGAACTGATACACGCTGCAGAAGATCGCAGATTGAGTCTATGATTTTCACCTCAAACCATAGTAGGTATCAGGTCTTTACTTTGGATGTTGCCTCACTGTATACCTCCATCCCTCACAGTGATGGCCCCTCGGCGTTGCGTTTCTTTCTGGACAAACGCAGTAATCCAGCCATTGCCACTGAACCCATCATACGTTTAGCCGAGTTGGTTCTGACTCTCAATTCTTTTGAGTTTAACGGCAAGTACTTTGCCCAAATTAATGGTGTGGCTATGGGCACTAAAATGGGCCCTAGTTATGCCTGCCTCTTCATGGGTTTTCTGGAATACCAGGTGTGGCTACTATACACAGGTCGAGTCCCTGAATTGTATAGGAGATATATTGATGATGGTTTTGGTGTCACCGATATGTCAGTAGTGGAACTGGAAAACTTCATTGAATTCTTCTCGAATTTTCACCCCAGTATCCAACTAACCCACCATATTTCTTCCTCTTCAGTCAATTTCTTGGACCTTTCAGTTTCTATCAACCCTCGTGGTCTCACCACATCGGTCTACTATAAACCGACCGACTCCCATGCCTTTCTACTCTATGACTCCTCTCATCCTCAGTCTTGTAAGGACGCCATTCCTTTCTCTCAACTCTTGCGTCTTAGACGATTATGCCAGGATAATGATGACTTTCACAGTAGGGCCCACGAAATTATGAATTTCTTCCGATCACGTGGATATCCTGAGTCTGTCTTAGAATCTGCCTTCCGCCGCTCCCAGAGCCTCAGTCGGGTGGATGCTTTCATCCCCAGGCCTAAACGGCAGAACCTTAGACCCATACTTTCCTTAACCTACCACCCTCACAACATTGCTATCAAGAACATCTTATTCCGCCATATGTCTATCTTCCGAGCGGACCCAGTAACCAACGCTGTGTTTTCAGAGACACCTCTACTGGCATATAAGCGGGACCGCAACCTCAGAGATTTACTGGTACACAGCAGAGTACGGGGACCCGCCCCAACTCATCCGGGCACTAAGGCTTGCCTTAGATCTCAGTGCAACACCTGCCCATACGTGCTGAATACTTCAGATGTGACTTTTCCTAAAGGCACTTTTAGCATCAAAGAGGAATTCTCCTGCAATAGTAGGAACGTCATCCATGCTATCATCTGCAAACGGTGCAACATTAAGTACATCGGGGAAACCGGTCTTCGCTGAGCCGACAGGTTTCGCCAGCACCTTCATGACATCACTAACCAAACAGCCAGGCCAGTTTCCACTCATTTCAACAGCGCTGACAATCAGGGGACCGCTGACATTCAGGTCACGGCCATCAGATCCTGCTCGTCTGACGATCGACATCGGAAAACTTTGGAAAACCGACTTATATATTTGATGGGTAACCTCTCACCACTAGGCCTTAACACCCAACATAGCTTCGTATAAATTACCAGTGTCCCGGTAACGCACCATTATCCCCCTCCCCACTACACCCACGCCCATCCCACGTTAGTTTCTGACTGTCATGATATTCCAGTTACATAGCATGCGGGTTATCCCCTAGGTCTCGACAGATTATGTTGCTGGTTGCTTGACACTACATAATATACTTGGATACTAGTTTCTCTCTCTCTCTCTCTCTCTCTCTCTCTCTCTCTCTCTCTCTCTCTCTCTCTAGGTATATACCAAGTTTTCTCTGGTCTTCCCTCTCCTTACTCTTCTCCCCTTCCTCTCTTCCTTTCTGTTTTGTTTCTCCCCTA